TGTAATACTGCTGTGGGGAAATGGGTTCAACTCAGAAGAACCATCTATCAAACCACCTTGGACTTTTGTGGTACCTTGCATTGTAGCTCAAACAACTGGTTTGATGAAAACTCATCTGAAATGATCTCACTCATAGAAAAGAAACAGTCAGCTCTCCTTAAATACAAGTGCAGCCCTAGCCACTCCAACTTGCAGGTGCTTTGAGAGATCTGGCAAAAGATCAAACTTACAGTGAGACTGTGTGCAAACAATTATTGGTTACAGCTGTGTGAGAGTATCCAAATAGCTGCTAACTGAGGCAACACACAAACAATGTATGGACACATTGGGAAAGCTCTTGAGCCTGCTCCAAGGAAAGACTGCCTTTTAAAATCTCCCATAGGCGAAGTCATCAATGACTGTAATAAGCAGATGGATCAATGGGTTGAACATTACTCAGAACTCTACTTTTGCAAAAGTGTGGTCTGTGACTCCACTCTTGACACACTTGAAGACCTTTCAGCCCTGACAGTGCTTGACTATAAACCTACTTTATGTATAAAGTAGAAAAAGCCATTGATCAGCTTGCTTGTGGTAAAGCCCCAGGTGCAGATTGCATACCAGGTGAAGTTAAGTGTAGGAAATCCATCCTTCTCCTCCATCTGTATGAATTAATGTGTATATGTTGGAGAGAAGGTGAAGTTCCTCCAGACATGAAGGCTGCAAACATAGTCACTTTGTACATATACAAAGGTGATATGAGCAACTGCAGTGACTATCACAGTATATCCTTACTTTGTATCATTTTGAAGCTGTTTGCCAAAGCTGTCCTGCTAAGACTGGAGACCCTTGTGAACAGTCTACCATGGGTCTCAATGTAGTTTCAGATCTGGTAGATCCACAACTAATATGATATTTTCCTTGAGACAGCTACAAGAAAAGTGCCATGAACTAAGGAAATCCCTGTACATAGTATTTGTTGATCTCATCAAAGCTTTTGACCTGGATCACTTTTCTCATGCTCGTGACTATTTTGGTCTGACCATTAGCCTAAGACAGTAGTTATGGGATAACAAGTTGACTGCCCTCCTGAAGTTAGAATAAATTATGAAAGCCTGGAAGTGGTTACAAATGCACTTACTTGGGCTCCACTATCTTGCAAAATCTTTATTTAGAAGCTGAAATTAATGTTTGCATTGGAAAGGCAAGCAACATCATGACTACATTTCAAAAGAGTTTGGAAAACAGCTCTCACTCTGTCAACAAAGATGTCCATCTACAGTGCTTGTGTACTTAGTTCTCTATTGTACAGCAGCAAAACGTGGACTCCTTATGCCAAGGAAGAAAGAAAATTGAACAGTTTCCATCTTTAATGTCTCTGATAACATGGCATGATAAAATCTCCAACTTCTTGCTGTTCTGGAATGGGCCAAGGTAACCCAGTATGTTCATGCTTCTGAAACAAAGATGCCTCCATTGGTTAGGACATGTGAATTATATGAGCAATAGCCGAATCCCCAAGGACATACTCTACAGTGAGCTGGCCACTGGCAAACATCAACTTGGATGGCTGAAACTCTGTTTTGTTGATGTCTGTGAGAAGAACCTTTGTGAGCTGCACATCAGTGGCCAATGCTGGGATCATTTGCTTTGTACTACTGTGAGTGGAGACCCACCATGAAGCAGGGCGTACATTGATGAGATGGAAAAGAGGCATCAGAGGCAGGCAGGACAAGATGGTACTTGGCATGCTGGTGCAGAATCAACTGAGTATGTATGTGCAACTTGCCAAAGGGTCTGCTTGTCATGTATCAGACTCAGCCACTCAAGAAGCTGTGTTGGTACCCGATAACCTACCAAAAGTGCAATCTCCATGGTCTCCTGAGACTGATGGCTGCCAATGATGAATCACAGATGAGTTGTATGTAAAACTCACTAATTTATATTTTTACCCCCCAACCCTGATAGACCCATATTACTCCAAAGATACAAACCAAACTCTGAACAGCTATGATCCTAAATTCAGTAGTTGCAATGAATTATCTGTCATCAAGTGGAAATATTGGGACTGGTCTAGAGACCAAACATTTCTTCAGATAGCACTATAGGTCTTCTCCTATCCCCTGTTCTCTGCAGCTGCTAGTGCTATCCTTGAGGGGGATGGCATGCAGAAGCTTGAGTCAGTGGATATGCACTGTGCTTTTTGAAATCTTGGTAGACACAGTGTGTAACTCTCATCAGCAACAATTCTACTTTACCTAAGCATTCCAGTGGGTTTGTGAATTCCTCCTCCAGTGTCAAATACCTTTGGATACTCTCAGTGACTCTTTTTGCTACTGGCAAATAATCTGGGCAGGCAGCATTTTGCCCAGTTATACCCTAGGAAATGTTTCTAAACATAAAGGAACTTTCTGGTGTTGTCTTTCCTTAATTTGTTGGCTTCAGAGTCATACAGAAGACACTGGCCTCACAGCCGCCCATCGGTGTCCAGGTGCCTCAGAGCAGACCTAATGGGCATGGATACCCCAATTTCTTTGTCAGAGCTCGTTCCATAGAAAGTCCTGTCTGAATGTTGTTTTCCTGCTGATTTCTCTCACAGAGCAGAAGATGCTTCTAGCCTGTGGTGAAAACCAGAAGAAATTTCTGAGGCTCCCTTTCCTTTCTTCTCCTGTGGTGATTGCCCACCTTATAACATACATACTCCTTCCTGGAATGACAAAGGAAAATCAGAAGAATTGTTTGGATATCCATGCAAACCTGTCTCCGTTCACCCCTTCCTTTGAGAGAGCCTTGTGCATGGAGACTTGTCTCTCTGAAGCGGTCTTTATCCTGTATTTCTTGCCCAGTCAAATGAAGAATTAGCCTGCTGAGCTGGTTGTTCCAACCTGGAGAGTAAGAGGGATGTATTTGAGGAGCTTTGGAAGTTATCTTTTTGATAGTTCCCTCGTCCTCCATGCCTGACGTGCAAGATGCTTGACTGAAGATCCTGAAGTTTGCAGTCTGTTTGGGTGATTTCTTTTGCTAGAGCTGTTGCAAGGACTCCCCGGGGGAGGACAAAGAGCAATAGCCATAAACGGTTAGAGGATGGTTTCAGGTTGGATATAAGGAAAAACATCTTTATAGTAAGAGTGACCAGAATCTGGACTAGACTTCCTAGGGAGGTGGTGCATTCCCCAACCTTCGAGAGGAGAATGTACAGACACCTTGCTCAGATCATTTCAGAAGTATTCCTGCCCAGAGCAGGGGGATTGGACTCAATCTTTTGAGGTCCCTTCCAGCCTTAATTTCTATGAGTCTGTGATTCAGGTATGTCCGTCTGCTTCTCTCTGCTATCTGGATGTGACTACATGGAAGGGAAGAAAGGGACAGGCTCTCAGCTAGACAGAGTGTTTGCCATTTGTCTGGTGGCAACTGAGCTGCAAGATTCATTCCTTGTTCTTTCTTCCGTTTTAGTAATGAGAGTCCCTTAATATGAAAGACCACTCTGAGGGATTCTCAAGGACAAGACACCTTGGTCAGTTTGGCTGGCCAATTGTCCAGGTTCATCTGAGGTGATGAAGAGGGGCTATTGGGAAGCCAAAGGGTACACATATAGGAAGGGCAAGCCATCAGTCTCGTTTCCAGGAAGAGCTGGCAGGTAAATTGCCTTATATCAGCTTTCTGTATGCTTCCAGGATGTGCTAGGGTGATGAACTCCCTTAGGCTGGAAAAAGGTACTAGAAATTCCTCATAAGATTTGTGCGCTAGTAAGCAACACAAAACATGTCATCCTTTGACCTGACTTTGTTTCTGCAACTAGAGGCTAGAGAAGGAAACCAGCAAAAATGCTGATTTTTAGTAAAAGTGCCACATGACTTGTAGTGTTTGCCTTCTCCTTAAGTACAGGCAGTAACCAAGCAGTATTGCATCTGGAAACTGCCTTTGTTGCCAGACCCAGTCTGGTACTCAGTCACATTCCCCTCAGTCAAAGAGAACATTATTTAGGGCTGAACTCTGGTTTCTTTCCATACAACAAATAGTGTCACTGAAGCTGTGAAAACTTAGAGAATGAAGAGATACTAAACCAGCGAAAAAGTTTGAGACTAGGGGTCAGCAATGTTTTTGGGCAGAGTGCTAAAAACACCTGCAACCTCAATTTGTAAGATGTTGGCATACCAGGGTCAGATGGTTGGGGAGTCATGAGGGGTCCACTCCTTGTTGTGGCAGCGCAACCTTGGCCCCTTCCCCACCGTCCACCCCAAGGCACACATGCACCTGCTGCCAGCAACAAGCCAGGCCTGGGCTCCATAGACCCCAGTACAACTGCCTGCAGCCTTCTGGCTGCCTGCTACAGCTGGCTTAGGCTCTGGGCAAGCCCCTGCTGCATGCCACAGTGCCCAGGCTACTTGCAGCATGCAGCAGGGAAGCTGCAAGCAGCTGTACTAGGGTCCACAGAGCAGTGGATGCACTGTTGCCGGCAGTGGATACGCACATGCCTTGAGGTGGACAGCAGGGAAGGGTCCAGGGTTGCACTGCAACACCAAAGATAGGACTCCTCGTGGCCCTCCACCATCTGCTCTAAGACGTACTTGCTAAGCAAAATGCCTTTTGTGTCACACACTGGAATGCTTGCTGAGGCCTACCCATGTATTAGTTCTTGTCTCTAACTTTTTATTTTCTTTACTTAATCTGTATCTCAACCTCCTACCCCAGAAATGGAGTATAAAGCCAAGTAGCTTGGAAAGTATTTTTCCCACTTCTGCATTTGTTTTTCCTTTTGAAAGTCTTGGGATGAATAGGAGGCTAAAACCCTCTGTAGCTCTTGGGTTACCAAGAAATGTATAAATCTTGGCATCTATAACCTTGCCAATGATTCCAAATTCTCACAGGTTGAGAAACATAGCTCTTAAGGAAGGAAAGGAAAGGAGCCCCAATGTATGACCTGTCTGCTATGGTCCAGGGCTGTATGCTTGCTGAAATGGGTTCACAGGCTTTTCCATAACATGGACCACATCTCAACAGAGGGTCTTGTGAACTGCTTGTTTTCCCATTAGTAAGCAAGCCTGGCTCTCATCCCATTCAATTACATGGCATCCCTAAAAAAAGAACAGCAACTCTTCCCAGAAAATGCCTCCATCAGAAGAGGTGGCGGCACACCTTTTTTTACCAAGCTGCCTTCTAATGCATTTTAGACACCAGAGAGAAGGAGGAAGAGGAGCAAGCCCCATGTAACCATAACTGGCCATCTCTCCCCAGACCAGAGTTAAGTTCTTTGTGTCCACAGAGATGCACAGATCATGGTCTGATAACCAGCATAGTGGAATATGGGTCCCCCAAATCTCTGACCTGAAGCAGAACCATAGATTTCTAATAGATATCTGAATGGGTTTAAATCTCAAAAACAGCTTTTTCTTGTTGGGGCTCCAACCTGGTGTGCGTCTAGATTGCAAGATACTGTCACTGTAAACCAGGGGTAAAAGAGCTGGTTTGCTCTGTCATTGAATGGTAGCTGATTCATCTACGTGGGTGTGGCAGGGTTGTCCTAGGAAATCACTGTACAATTTGCTTAAGGCAGGGAGCTGTGATGTCAAAGGGGAGAATTGTTTATCAGCCAGTCGGCCTGCTCTAGATTCCATCCTGCCTTTTCTGCTTTTTTCTGAACCAGGGTTTGGCAACATTTTTAGGCAGAGTGCCAAAAACACCTGCAACCTTGACTTGTAAGATGTTGCCGTTCCAGGGGTAGGGGGGCAGGGGAGTCGTGAGGGGCCCTCTTCTTGTGGCAGCGCAGCCCCAGGCCCCTTTCCTGCCATTTGCCCAGAGGCACACTTGCGCCTGCCACCACCAACAAGCTGGGCCACTGCCCTATGAACCCCAGTGCAGCTGCTTGCAGCCTCTTGGCCACCTGTCACAGATGACCCAGGCTG